CGCATTTACAATTGCAAATAAAATTAAAATAACGGGGTAGCCTTCATTTCTCTTTCCTGCTTCAAAATGAGACCTGAATCATCGTTTATCTACACAGGGTGCGCCATTAGTGTGTGGGTGGAAGATTGTGGGTTTTAATAATTAACGCACATATTTAAAATTCATTGTCGGGGCATGTTGAGGGACCCTTAAGGCTACAACCTAAAAATATGTTCACCGAAATTGCAATTGTTATACAGGGTGATTTATATCAAAGTTGCATTCTTTTTAATGGAACGGCTATATATTTATTATATATTTCGATTCCTTTGTCAATGTTAGTGTAACTTTATGTATTACAAATGATATCTAAAATGAGTCGTTTAGCCGCAATTGATCGTTTTTTCAAAAAGTAGATGTCCAGTAACAATTGAATATCGCAGTTATCATTAAACTGAGAAGGTCGTAATTCGGCAGCATTACTAATCATAAAGTGCACTAACATACGCCGAACGGCTAAAGTTAAACTTCTTTTCTGTTAAAAGAAATCCGTCAATTTTCAAAATTTCACTCAGATGGAACTACTAAGTTTTTTTATTGCATGAAATGTATGATTTTATTACCTTTCAAACGACATAAGCATTACGGTATGTATTTCTTGCCTATTTATTGTAATTCAACAATTTCTAATAATTCATTATTTCTTGATTTTCAAAGCCTCTCAGTAATCAGTAGACCCTTAAAAATTATAAACACAAATTCTAATGATAAAACATTTACCCCCAACAAAACAAAAACTCATGTTTTTCATAGCCCATTTTAAAAAATACAATAATGAATTTTGCATTTAAAGTTTAAACCAATGCATGAGCTTAAATAAATCAATTTGAATAGTAAGTCACGAAAGCCTAATTGGAAAATATTAAAACAAAATAAAATGAAATAATCTGTCAATTTAGTTCATTGGCATTTACAATTATTATTATTTATTTTTTTTTTCTATTTTTATCGTTTTTTGACTTTTTGTTTTGTTTTATTTGAAGTAATTTTTTTATTGTTTCAATTGTTCATTTTTAAGGCCTACTAACTACTGAGAGGCTTTGAAAATCGAAAAACACTGAATTATTAAAAAAAGGTTGAATTACAAAAAAATATGTAAAAGATAAATATGAACACGCTCATATAGTTAAAAAGGTAATAACATCCTACATTTGATGCAATAAAAATCACTGGGTAGTTCCATTTAAAATAATCAAGTTACCTTTGATTGCAATTTTAAAAATTGACGGAGTGATTTATTTCAACACAAAAAAAGTTGAACTTTAGCCGTTCGGTGTATGATAGTACATTTTATGGCTAATAATGCTACCGAGTCACGGCGTTCTCGGTTTAATGATAACTAAGATATTCAATTTTTACTGGACATCCAATTCTTGGAAAAACCACGAATTGTAACCATTGAATAATAAATTATTGCGGTTTTCGCGAGCTTTTTTAGGCATCATTTAGCTACTTTTTCATTAAAAAAAAATCGAACCAACGCATTTAATTTTTTTGAGAAAATTAACCATGTCTGTCGGAATGTCGAAAAAAGCCCTCAGGCGGCGATATGTGAAACTAACAAAACTTCAAATAGTATAATATTTGTAGCCGAAGAATAACTCTTTTCAATTAACCCGAGTTTGTTAAAATCGGCACAGTCGTTTCGAAGATACAGGGTGTTCTTTATGGAAACCTTTGAATACCCCCCACCACTTCATTTTTAGAGATACAGGAAAAATTGTCAAACAAAAAAGGTTCAGATTATCGTTGTCTTCAAAGACCGGACCGGATTTTTTTTAGGTTAATATAGCGGAATTCACAGAAAAATTACTTTTCTAGATTCCAGATTGCAGTTACGCCCCCTAGCGGCCATTTTAAAAACTTAAAAATATTTACCAGGTTTTTCTCGTAGCCGTTTTAGTACTTTTTTTTACCACAAGCCTCTACGATGGACAGGTTCCCAGATACAGTACCTCGCATTCTTATTTGGCCACCCTGTACATATTTAGTCCTGTCATTTCACCATGGACCGCTACACGCTTCAACAATGCGTAGAATTGGTTAAAATTAAAACGTTCTGTGCGTTGCGTCCAATTTATGGCGTTCATGGCCGTCCTGCAGAGTCCACAATCCGTTGTTTAATAAAAAAATTTGAGACAACGGGGTCAGTAATTGATGAAGCAGTTCCTGTACGTCAAAGAAACGCAATATCCTTGGAGAATATTATTGCCGTTCGGAACAGTGTGCGGGAAAACCCCAGGCAGCCCATTCTGCGTAGTGCGCAAGAACTGGGTCTTTCCGGGACGTCAACTTTTCAGTTCCCTAGTCTATGCAGATCAACCACAGTCAATTGCTGCCCTAAAAACCAGTATAACTCGCTTTCTTCGTGAAATTCAGCCCAGTTTAAGCGAAGATGTCCAAAATTGGTCCACCAGAATGCAACGTCTACAGGGAATCGCGGGGGCCATTTGACTGAAATTTTTTCCATAAATAATGTCATCGAATATTCTTTAAAATATTATAAAAATTGTGGTAATATCACTTAAACAGAAGGTTTTATTTCATTTCAAAGTTCGAGCGCTCTTAATGAAAAACCCTATTAGACCGGGAGATGATGACACTTTTTGTGGTGTGATTTGCTACAAGTATGGCGACCATTCAAAGGATTAATTAAGTACTCCTCGAAACGAAAATGGTGCTAACTCTCTGGGAGTGGGGCCGTTATTGCGTGACGATTGTTTAAACATGTCGGAAAATTGAGTGATTTTGGACAATTTGCTACACAAAATTCTTTGGATTTTCTAGTAGTCGGTGACAAAACAAATGACGGAAACGAAATGCCATACTTTTCCGGTGGGCCTTATAGCCCGCCATACTCATTTGAAAGTGTCGATTGTTTGTATTTTTTTTGGGTGATTTGCTACAAGCTCATTTTTTTATGAGCATCAAGTCCTCAATCAGTCATTCACGAAAATCAACCTGCCATACCGCAGCGACGGGCCCGCATAGCCGCCATACCGGCACAAAGATGTCATTTTTGTTAATAATTTTGGGCGATTTTCTACACCCTATAAATTTTTCCACCAGTTATTTTTATAGGCAGAAATAGAAAGTTCGATACGCCATACCTGTGGCATGGGCCAATTATGTATAATATTTTTTCAAAAATGTAAGAATTTTCCGAAAATTTGGGCGATTTGCTACAGTATGGCACCAATGTTTCGTGACAGTTTGAGGTGTAATAAAAGTAAATATCAAGTTTCAAACATGACTCCCAGGCCAATCTTGTTTTATCACGAGATGTTATGTCGCTTAATATTCTCCCCCCACTCGAAGTTCTTAGTCAAGTTGAAGAGGTTCCGGTCGGGGTCGTTGTGTTCTGCATTGCATTCAATGGATCGCAGGTAGTAGGTAGTAGCTGCCGTGTGCCGTCAAGTTTATACTACACTACCCGCCATAAGTATCTGAACACCCAGTGGCTTTGATCAATTTTGATAAAATTTTCAGGGCAGTTGTATTTATTCCGAATTAAGAAACGATGAAAATTTGAACATTATACAAATTAAAATAACACTAATAATAATAATAATAATAAACGTTTAAACAAATATAGCAAACGAGCTCCTGGGTATGGCTATAGCAGTTCAAGACCAAATTTTGCACCTCTAAGTGCATATAGGTATCAAATTTCATTTAGATGCTTTCATAATTAAGAAAGTTGGCACTGTGCATCTGAAATACCAATCGACATAATTTTATATATTTTATATATTATTATAGTCATCATGAATATTACGGATGGAAGTTAACGCACACAGATAATTATGAATTTAATTGGTTCGACGGCGACGACATGCCCACTACTGTCGGATATATCATTCTGGATCGCATTGACCAAGAGAATGAAAATCAAATCGATTTGAGTAGTGTCGAGAGCAATGGGAACGAAACAGAAGAGACCCATGACGATGTTGAGGAATCCGATACCGATGACGAGTAATTGTTAAACGCGAGTACGATATCTTGTCGGGATAAGTTAATCAATTTAGAACAATTATTCTTTTGAATGGATTGTGTTACCAATTTTTAATAATAAAATCATTTTTCTGAAGCTCGCGCGTTTTCAAGGTTTCTTGCTTGTCCCAGTTATAGCACAAAGATGTTTTAAGAAAACAGATTTTCGAGTATGGCGCCATCTTTAGCCTTCATGACGTCAAGTTACGCAATTCTTCTAGTCTTTCTTTAACTTCTTCGGTCTTTGTTTCTATATTTACAATTAATTCGGTAATTTTTTCGTCGATTGCTTTGAGCCACGCGACGTTCCTCTTCCAGTTGTTCTTGATACACTTGAATGCGAGGGTCGACGGAGTTTTTGTATTCTTCAATAATTTTCTCAAGTGTGAGCTCTTCTATCATATATATATATATATATATATATATATATCATGGGTCAATGTGGAGCATGAATTTTCGGAAAATCCAAATGCCATACTGTAGCAAATCGCCCAAAATTATTAACAAAAATGACATCTTTGTGCCGGTATGGCGGCTATGCGGGCCCGTCGCTGCGGTATGGCAGGTTGATTTTCGTGAATGACTGATTGAGGACTTGATGCTCATAAAAAAATGAGCTTGTAGCAAATCACCCAAAAAAAATACAAACAATCGACACTTTCAAATGAGTATGGCGGGCTATAAGGCCCACCGGAAAAGTATGGCATTTCGTTTCCGTCATTTGTTTTGTCACCGACTACTAGAAAATCCAAAGAATTTTGTGTAGCAAATTGTCCAAAATCATTCAATTTTCCGACATGTTTAAACAATCGTCACGCAATAACGGCCCCACTCCCAGAGAGTTAGCACCATTTTCGTATTGAGGAGTACTTAACTAAACCTTTGAATGGTCGCCATACTTGTAGCAAATCACACCACAAAAAGTGTCACCATCTCCCGGTCTATATATTTGGTTGAACCTGTACGTGACCCGTGTGGGTCACGATTGATGCGTATTTTGATTACGTACATCATAATGTGCCTCGACGAGAAGTTCGTTCTTAGTAGGTTTAGTAAGCTACAGATAAAGGAGTCATGAATAAAGTGGGACCATTCTTAAAACATGTTGCTCCTTATCAATTGCAATATAATATAAATGTTTTAAAAAACTACTTCCCCCTTATTCGTGATCGTCACAATGTGAAGTCTGCTTTAGATGTTGGGTGTGGTCCTGGAGATTTGACGTCCGCTGTTTTCCAGTTCGTAGAACAAGATATTAACGAAATGATCGGTATTGACATCTCCCCCGTAATGGTCGATTGGGCTAACAAAGCTTACGGAGGCGATCGAATATATTTTTCGAAGGTTGATGTACAAACTATACCTAAAAATTTTGAAAATCGATTCGACTGCATATTTTCTTTTTGGACACTACACTGGATTGCCGATCAAAGGTTTGTCTTAATTTTATATGTAAAGGTTATCATCATCGTCGTATTGTTCTAGGACATTGTACTACAATATTTCAAAAATGTTAAAACAAAGGCGATCTTTTCTAGTATCATATATACCTAGCTTGTAGTAAAATATTCGATATATTTAATGAAGTTCCTAAAAGAGAAAAATATGCACCATATGTCTCTAGTGTGAATATGCACCAAGCTCCTTTTCAAAAATCCGCAAACCCCCAGAGAGAATTGGTCAAGATTCTAGAGCACGTGGGGTTTAAGGATATTTCTTGCAACGTAGAAACAGTCCGTTTTGGGAAGTATACCGAAAACGACATAGCAGGTGAGCAATATACCTACTTACACGCTGAATACAGTTTCAAAAATTTTAGGCTTTTTCTTTGCATTAAGTCCATATTATGATTACATTCCAATAAATCTACGGATGGAATTTATTCGAGATCATGTTCACCTGGTAGACACAGAGCAAGATGCAAGTGGTCAGAGACACTATTACTTCGATCACACCATGTTTGTAGTACATGGCTGTAAAATACCATAGCTATAAAATGTCAATGAATGATTAATCCTGTAACCATACCAGTGGATGTCATAATAATCACGTTTGCGTTCTCAGTGAAACTTAGTACATATTCATTATTTCATTTGTGTGTTTATTTGATGGTCACGCTAAACCTGTCACAATGACACCGCCTTAAGTTAAAGCATTTTAAGGCCGATTTATAAACTTTGTCGCCCGCGTTCGCGCTGGCAGTTCGTAGTTCACCGAAGATATTGACAAATGGAAAAAGAGTACCCATTTGCACAACCGTCTATAATTACAAGCCGTGCTGAGAATTATGGCAACACTGCACGGTAGGCCGATTTTCTAATTCAACTTGGCAGATTTCAGGTGTATTTTATATGTGTTTTGGGTGTAATATTCCTATTTACCTGTTTTAATAGGGTGAGATTGCCACAATTTGTGTTACTCCGTACGGAATGAACAGAAATTATTATTCAGGTAAGTTGCTAAACGAAATATATCGATTTGTTGTCATAACCTCTAAAGCAGGCTACTCCTTACTGGACCCTTTACAAGCACTTGTATTTGTCCAAAGCACCTGTAACAAGCTCAAATATGACCTACACACTACGTGGTACGTAAGTACGGTAAGTGTTTATCGTGAAAGAATACAGTTATTATTTTATTAGTTTGTATTTCAGATATTCTAGCACGGACATGTCAAGTCGATTTTCTCCTTCCGACATTCCCAGGAGTTCACGGTATGGGAATTTGAAGTCTACGGGGCTCCCTTCTTTAATATCTTGATGCCTAGACCCACTGGAGTAGCCACTGGCTTATAGTCTGCCATTCCGAAGCTCACCTGGTCGTTGATAAAACCTCGCTTATGCAGAGCGATTAACTGTCCTTTTGCCGAAATTAAGTTCTCAAGCGTGTGCTTTATTTACCTCGACCTCCTTCGACAGAAGTTCACCAATTTCGGGGATCTCGATGGAAAATACATTATGATGCAGTTACCAATTTACAGCGTTCCAAATTTTAAAGTCAAATAAAAATGTTATTATCCATTTTGTATAAATAAATAAAATATGTGTACAATTGTAAGCTGCCTAAGTATCTTTCTTCTGTATTAAAACCACCAAGGTGAAACACAGGAAAGAGGAAAAATTGCATTTTTCAAGAGCAACAAGACTCCATTAAAACTTCAATCGGCCCACCGATTGACTTTCGGACAACGTTGCCAAACTTCTCAGCATGGCTTGTAATTATAGACGGCTGTGCCATTTGACGCGCAAATTAGTGTCAAAGTGAAACTGTCTAAGTTGCTCGTTTTGACCACAGCCGTCTATAATTACAAGCCATGCTGAGAAGTTTGGCAACGTTGTCCGAAAATCAAAGGGTGGGCCGATTTAAGTTTTAATGGCGTTTTGTTGCTCTTGAAAAATTGCATTTTTCCTCTCTCCTGTGTTTCGCCTTGGTGGTTTTAATACAGAAGAAAGACACTTAGGCAGCTTACAATTGTACACATATTTTATTTATTTATACAAAATGGATAACATTTTTATTTGACTTTAAAATTCGGAACGCTGCAAATTGGTAACTGCATCATAATGCGTTTTCCATCGAGATCTCCGACATTGGTGAACTTCTGTCGAAAGAGGTTGAGGTGAAGTACACGCTTGAGCACTTAATTTCGGCAAAAGAACAGTAAATCGCTGTGCATCAACGAAGTTTTATCAACGACCAGGTGTGATTCGGAATGGCAGACTTTAAGCCAGTCGCTACTCCAGTGAGTCTAGGTACGAAGCTTTTAAAGAGGAGAGCCTCGTAGACTTCAAATTCCCGTATCGTGAACTCATGGGAATATGTCGGAAGGTTCCTTCAGAAAATCGACTTGACATGTCCGTGCTAGAATACCTGAAATACAAACTAATAACATAATATTGTATTCTTTCACGATAAATACTTACCGTACTTACGTACCACGTAGTATGTAGGTCATATTTGAGGTTGTACAGGTACTTTGAACAAATACATATGCTTATAAAGGGTCCAGTAAGGAGCAGCCTGCTTTAAAGGTTATGACAACAAATCGATATATTTCGTTTAGCAACTTACCTGAATAATAATTTCTGTTCATTCCGTAGGGAGTAACACAAATTGTCGCAATCTCGCTCTGTTAGAACAGGTAAATAGGAATATTACACCCAAAACCTATATAAAATACACCTGAAATCTGCGAAGTTGAATTCGGAAATCGGCCTACCATGCAGTGTTGCCATAATTCTCAGCACGGCTTGTAAATATAGGTAGATGGTACGCGTCGTGAATTTAACGTTACACGCGTTTCATTATGACGTTCATAAACGAACTTGTATCGTTAATAACTATTATAAGAGAAGGTATTTTTAGTTTACAGTTTGTTCATGAAAGGGATAAGAATTATTTCTGTGCAAGATTAATTAGGACTTTTTTATTGTCGAAAGCTTTTTATGCGTTTGATAAGTGTGTGAATAACTGTAAATGTATTTAGTTTCTTTTTATTCTATGAATGTAAACCTAAATGTTTTGTGTTGGTTTAGAATTATGTACGACAAGTGTAAGTGTAAACACACAGTAGCACAGTATATCATATTATTATATTATATTATCCTCCTTCGAAATTATGAAAATGTAGATATTGCATGCTCAGATTTTTATTGTCTGTTCTATGAGTTATGCGACAAGTTTGTTCCACGTACACGACATAAAGGCAAGCGGTTTTTCCCTAAATGGTTCACCCCAACGATCAAGAAAAATATCAAATTAAAATATATACTACTTAAAGAATATAGAAGAAACAACTCCATTATAGCACTGAACCATTATAAAACTTTGCGCAAATTAATTAAATCCCAAATTCGTCTAGCACACAAAGAGTATATAGATAATATTGAAACGTCTCTAGCCATTGACCCAAAACAATTGTGGTCTTTTGTAAAGACCAAAAATAATATTTCTAGGATCCCGGGTCAAATGAAACACGATGACGCACACTTTAACAAGCCAAATGAAATCGTCAATGCTTTTATGTCTTATTTTACATCAGTCTACACCAGCTCTACTGGAATGTCTGGGGCAACAAACAACATTAACAACCTCCCGCCTATTCATTTACCCTACATTACCGATGCAATGGTGGCGACTGCTATTGATAGTTTAAAAAACAAACAAACTGAGGGTTTTGATAAAATACCTGTTTTTCTTCTAAAATTCTTAAAGAATATGCTAATATATCCCTTACGCGTCATATTTAATCTAGCACTCACTTCTTGTACATTTCCTACATATTGGAAGGTTGCCAAGATATGCCCTGTTCTCAAGTCAGGAGAAGCATCTGAAATTTCCAACTACCGTCCTATCAGTATCTTATCAAGTTTCTCGAAAGTGTTTGAGATAGTTATTTACAATTATATTTTCCCCCTGTTTGTAGCCTAATATCTCTACATCAACATGGCTTTATGCAAAAAAGATCAACGGTGACCAACTTGGCTTGTTTTACCGAGTATTGTACGCACGCTTTGGACGAATCTCAACAAGTTGACGTGATGTACGCTGATTTTTCTAAAGCGTTCGATACCATTGACCACCAAATAATAATTCACAAGTTGAAAAACTTTGGTTTTAACGATCATTTTCAAGCTTTCTTTAAGTCTTATCTAAAAGATCGCCGTCAGTTTGTGACGTATAATGGTTATAATTCCCATATGCTTCGAGCGAGTTCTGGTGTCCCTCAGGGGTCTAACCTTGGACCTCTGTTGTTCTTACTTTTTATAAATGACATATCATCCGCTTTCTCTGTTAACCACCTCCTTTTCGCTGATGACCTTAAAATGTTCGTCAAAGTATCTTCAATAAAGGATTGTCTTGTAATGCAAGAAAACATAAATGCTCTAAGCAGATGGTGCCTACTAAATAAACTTAAATTAAATATTAACAAATGTAAGGTCTTAACGTTTTCAAGGAAACGCGAACCAATATGCTTCACGTATAATATTGATGGAATGATTTTAGACTGCGCGTCGCACATCAAGGATTTAGGTGTCATTTTTGATAATCAACTTAGTTTTAGATATCATATTCATTTCATCTGTTCATCTGCAATGCGTGTATTAGGTTTCATTATTAGAAATTGTAAATCCTTCACCAACGTTAACGCTCTGATTAGGTTATACTGTGCCCTTGTTCGCTCTAAACTTGAATATTGTGATCTTATATGGTATCCCGTTTATGAAGTATACAAGAATGATCTTGAAAACGTTCAACGTAAATTTCTCAAATATCTCTCGTTCAAAATTGATGGTTATTATCCTCCTCAAGGTGTTCCTCAAAAAGCTCTTTTGGAACGTTTTAGGCTTGATTCTTTACAGCATAGACGGGTAGTTAATAGCGTAAAATTTTTATATAAGCTCCTTCATAACGATATTGATTGTCCGGACCTTCTATCTCAGATTAAATTCTTGGTCCCATCATATCGAACAAGATGTCCTCTCACTTTTGTTTACCCGACTCCCAATACTAACCTCCTTCGTAAAGCTCCATTCTTTACAATGGCTCTCAACTTCAATGCAATTGGTCATAGTTGTGATATTAACTTCAATTCTCTGGCGTACATTTTACGGTTAGTACAAACACATTGTAGTGAATAGTATTATTTAGTAACCTAGGAGTAACGCTATACTTTGTTTATGGCTAGGTTTGTTTTTTTTTTCTTTTTTTTGTCATAAGTATTATATTTATATGTTAGGAATTAACTTGTAGTCCTAATTGTTTCACTTCTCACTTATCACGGTTAAAACAAGTATTACTTTTTTTTCTTTTTTTTTTCTTTCTATAGTCATTATTCTGATTTTGTCACTGTAATTATGAAATTATCAAATGTAGCTTAGCCACTAAGTGAATTTATAACTGAATATTGTTCAATTATGGACCCGAGTGTCTGTCGAACAATAAATTCCATTATTATTATATTATTATTATGATGAATGAGCATATACAGGGTGGTGACTTGCGTAACGCATCATAGGGATTTCAATGTAAAATTCATAACATGCGATTATTGGCTCCCCAAATTATTTTTTCTATTTCGGTGTCACAATG